CGCCTCGATCATCCTCATTCCGTTTACAGCAATTATTTACAGCTTTCTGTTTTACTAGTTTCATGTTACTGTTTGTAATATTTTAAATTCCTACATTCTGGCTTCGCAAGTCGATTCTGGAAACTTTTATTTTCAGATACAAATTTTATAACCAACAGATATCTCCGGTCCTTCTAGCAGAAAAATCCTTGGCTTATTGCACTTGTGTCCAATATGAAATTTCTCATCATAATTGAAGCACAACCCTTTTTCCCTTCTTTCTTGCATTTGGGTTGGGGTAAGTCTTTTAACGGGAAATGTGGTTTTTTTGTTTTCGGTTTTGGGCTGTGAGGAAGGCAATCTTTGTAGGGGGAGTGGTGCGAGGATTTTGGGATTGTAGGTTGTGTTAGGTAAGGCTGGGTGGTATGGTTTACCTGAGATCCCCTTGTATCTCCTTACCACTTCTTCTTCCTGCAATTTTGCTAAACTAAAGGCAGCTGAAAGTGTATTAGGCTTAAACATGGTTACCATAATTTTTAGTTCACCCTTAAGGCTACTAACAAAAGTAGAGATTCTGAATTCTTCTGTTAGCCCCTTAATCTTGTTAGATAGAACTTCAAATTCTGTTCGGTACTCTTCAACTGTGGCTGTTTGCCTTAATTTGATGAAAGCTCCTATGGGAACCTCATCAGTGGATGGTCCAAATCTTACCTTAAGAGCTTCGGTGAATCTATCCCAACCTCCTATAGGTCCTGAGTCTTTAAGCCACCCAAACCAAGATAAGGCCTTCCCTTTTGGATTAGATGATCCTTCTTCATTGTCACTATTTTTGTGGATTGCTAACTGCTCATAAGTGTTGGCCAGATTGATGAGTTGCTGTAATACGGCTTCCAGCCTGAGTTTCTGCTTGTTTTGTTCTTCTCACAGGTGCGCGTTTTCTTCTTTGAGGGAAGAGATAGCATCAGACAGCAAGGTGCGGCGTGTACCTTCCGCCATGTCGCAGAACCGATGCTCTGATACTACTGTTATGATTCACATGAAAAAAAGAAATAACTATGGCTTTCGAGGAGCCATACCTCCAAATGTTTGTAGGCGGGCCTGATCCTCCTATGTGTAATACACAAATTATGCACTGGAATTAATGGTGCTTCATTAGCATAAACATCAGAATATATATACAGGACTGACTTGGTGGCATGACTCCCCATGACTGCCACTACGTAACTAACCCACTAACTAAGTATAAGGAACTGCTCTGCCCCATGGCCCATGAAGTGATAACAGACTCACAAAGATTAACTAAATGGACTGAAAATAAATATAACTCTAAATAAACTGACCGACATAGACGGCCCATTGGCCCAACAAATGACCCGGCTGTTGAGCACATAATACAATCAATTTATTATGTTCTTACACTTATAAAGTTATAATCATAATCATGAAGTCATGATTACTTTACTTCAAATTCCAAACCATATGGATGTTGTTGTATGTGAATTAATCAACCATTTATATATACTACTTACAGAAAGAGAATGGGAATACCATTCATTACCTACTGCTAATTATCGGCATTGGAACCTTCATATTACTAATTACTTGAAATACATGCAATTAATAACTAGGAAAATAAGAAAGAACACCCATAATTCTTTCCAGCAAGATCAGCAGAATATCTGAATAAACAAGAACCTCCTTCCCTCTACTGTTTGCTTGTAAATCCAGAAGATATACTTTGAAAAACTTAAGATTTTAAAAGAAATCTATAAATAATTATGACAAATAAATCACAAAACTCAATTCCACATGACCATATATGCCCATAAATCAGAATCCAGGTTGTCTGCCGTGCAGAAACTTGCACAAGAATTTTTTTTTTTTTTTTATATATAACCCGGAATTCAGAAATGTTAAAACCGTTATTTCTACAATTTCTCAAAGATTCAAAAATGGAGTATCTTTGATACCACTTGTAGGATTTGAAAA